TAACTTAACTCGGTCTCACTAATTTACCTCTAATTTTTCACTGATTTACCTCTGTTTCACTAATTTATCTCTAGTGCCTCACTAATTTTACTGTCTCACTAATTAAACTCTAGAGTCTCACTAACTTAACTGTCTCACTAATTTAACACTAGTGTCTCACTAATTTATCTCTAATTTCTCACTGATTTACCTCTAATGTCTCGCTAATTTAACTCTAGTGTCTCACTCACATAACTCTAGTGGCTCACTAATTTTACTCTAGTGTGTTATTAATTTTACTCTCACGAATTTAACTTAAATGTCTCACTGATTAACTCTAATACCTCACTAATTTATCTCTAATGTTTCACTGATTTATCTCTAATGTTTCCATAATTCAACTTGTGTCTCACTAATTTAACCTTATTGTCTCACTGATTTAACTCTAGTGTCTCACTAATTTAACACTAGTGTCTCTATTGTCTCACTGATTTAACTCTAGTGTCTCACTGATTTAACTCTAGTGTCTCACTGATAAAAACAGCCTGTTCAATTCTAAGGAATAAAGAGAGATTTTAAAAAATACAAGAATAACCGAATAGAATATAGAAAACTGGCCATTTGATTAAAATGTAAATACTTATACTTGTTATTGTCATTATGATGCATTATTTATGCATTATAATGTATTATTTCTGGGCACCTATAAGCGCACATGCTGTCTAGATCTTATCTTTACCATCAGGATGACAGCAGAACCCTCAGGCTCCAGGTAAACACCAAAGTTTCCAGAAGGTGAAACACATTAACGCGAGTCATTAGATAAACTGATAGTAACGTAGATTCACAGCCACGAACTGTTAATGAATTACTAGTATCAATATCTGGCTGCAGATATTACACTGCACACTGTGGTAACAAGAAACAGGATGGACGCTTCATTGCTTGCATATCAAAATATGGAAATCTTTATCTGTGTCAAGCTATTAGCAACATGACTGCACAAGACAGGCTGACAGAGGAGCATCAGGATGATCACTGGCTTTATAATTTAGCCACAGAGGACTAAAACATTGAATCTAAGGTTTTTAAATTTAAGGCGAGGTTACATTTTACAAATAAAGCCTTCCAGATGTGGCTCAGTCTACACTTAGATAAAATGATGATCCCTGTAGAAGCAAAACAAACCTAAGAAAAAATTTCCCTTTTCTACAAACTTATCAGAAGCAAATCTTTTTGGATCCTTTTGGTCTAAAATAAAATGCCAACACTCTAAAGCAGGGGAGTCGAACTCAACCACTAAGGCTACGTTCAGGTTGAAGTGGCACAAATCTGATTTTTTGCCCTAATGTGGCTCAGATCTGATGTTTTCAGAGCTGTGTGGACACAAATCTGATCTTTTCAAATCTGACCTGAGCCACTTTCATATGTGGTCCTAGATCGGATGCGTATCCGATTCATGGCCATGCTACTTTATCACCATCATTCAGCGTTACCATGGCAGCAGCGCCGAACAGAAGTTAAAGCCTGTAAATGGTGGAAAAGCAGCTCATCTCACCTTTTTTTCCTTCGTCTCGCTCTAATAATGAAGCTGAGAGCTGATCAGAGTTAATGATCTTCTCAGCGAAGCTCGTTCTGCTCGTTAGTTTGTGCTGATGATGAACGTGATTCATTCACGTGATGTTACTGAGTAGGATGAGCTCATGAGGGTCATTTCAGGACGCCAGTTCGTTTACATTAATGACAGATTTGAGTCACTTACCTAAACGAGTGTGAACCATCGAGTCAGAGAGATCGGATTTGAGCAAAATATCAGATTTGAGCAACAAGGTTTGTAATGTGAACGTAGCCTAAAAGGCCCACATTAAAAAACCTCTACAAATCTGGGGGTCAGAGAATGTTTGTGTATTTATTTGATTGTTAAATAACACTCTGTTATGACCTGAGCCGGTCATTGTTTACTCAACATACGCCGAAACACCAACATCAAAATAGAGGCAGCTGTAGCGAACCTTGAAATGTTAGGAATAACTGAAATATTCAAAAATAAACATAAAATAGGCCACAGTACACAACATTTCGCACATTACAGCAGGCTACATTACATTGCGTGCATTATTCTGCAGTGCATGCTGGGGACTGTAGTGCAGCGCGCTGTGAAACGGGCTAATATTAACAGAAAATGAAAATAATTTTGCGGGCCAGATAGGATTATGCTCTGGACCCCAGGCCTTGTGTTTGACACATGGGCTCTAAAGTGAGAGGAGTGACCAACAGTAAAGCAGTACAGATGCAGTCATTGTCTACAAAACACAGAGAAATTAAACATAAGAGAAACTATTCATTAATTAAATTATGACCTTTTGTTTGTCACAATATTTAGTCTTGAGGTTTGATGAGTTGAAGCGGTCAAAAAGGCCTCCAAACAAAACACCATCAAAAACAGTGAAAACAACGCTTTTTATTCACAGCATTGAATCCACAGGAGTAATGATGCTCTGTTTGTAATAAACCATGCAGCTCAGTGTTCTTTAAGCACTGACGATGAGCACAATGTGCTCAGAAAAGCGGACCGTTCATCATGATAAAACTGATGAAGAGAACAATAAACCACTACTTTGAGCAGACATAAAAGCATGAATCGAAAGCAAGCATTTAGAAAACAGTGTTACACAAACATCCTAACCAGACTAAATCTCCTAAATACTGTCCTAACTTTAAAATAAATCCCAGTTTTTATGGTTCTATTTTGTGAACTAGCTGTCAGTTTCTGACACTGTCTGTTTTAACTGATCCTATATGTTTTGGTGAACGTTTATGTACTTTATTAATTATTATACAACAGTTAGTTCCGGCCACGCAAGCTGATTGGTTGAGAGGCGTTCTAACCCTGCTGATATTTCCCATAACATCACGGTTTTTTCACAAACACTGAGTCACTCCGCTGAGATGCCGTTGCTAAGCAACGACTTTGTCAGCTGTAGGAGACGCTCAAGCCATTTGAACGTTTTTACTTCTTACTTCGCCACAAACAGAAAACAGACACTTTTAAGATCACATTTGACCGACAGCCGATTTGGTCAGACTCTGAAGACGAGACGACACTAAATTCCCAAACTGTCGTCACCACTGAGCAGCTTTTCAGTCGGCAGCTGAGACAGAAGAACAGCTGAACAACCTGGAATCAGCCAGAAATGAACCCAACACCATTCGCCAAACTAAATGGGCTGTAAGATGCTTTACAGACTGGCTGGAACAAAACAACATTAATACTGATCTGGAAAAACTGACAAAACTGAGCTGAACTTGATATTGCGGCAGTTTTATGGCTCAGTCCGATTTGGTCAGACTCTGAAGATCAGACTACAGGTTTATTTATTTAACCGTTGTATAAAAGCAATAGAACACTCAAGGTCGCGAATAACATCACGGCTGTGATGATCTACGGCGCTCAAATCACAGCCGTGTTATTTCTATAGTGTTCTATTGTATAAATAGTGTTTGAGTCAGGCTGCAGTCGGATTAGTCTGCATCTGTAGTCTCATCACTTACAGCAAAGGTCACTATCAGTAAAGGTGGAGCTAAAAACAGAGTTCACACTTTCAGTTTGTGGCAGAGATGTGTGGGTCGCTTTTATGAACTCGTCTTTCCTAATCTTGCTGAGACACTTTTAAAGATTATTTACCAAAAACCAAAACGTGTTTGGTTTGTCTGGTGCTCTGAAAACCACAAGCTGCTTTCCCAAACAAAACCCTAAAGACAAGAGGATGGTGGACCACTGTTGGCCCACTGATGGCAAAGTTTGCGGTCCACTTGCATCTTGCTCAGCGTTTTCAGGGCAGCCCACTGGTGTTTAAGGAGATTAATAGACAAAATTCCACTCATCATCACTCATTTTCCACTCACAGGCCAGTTTACTGATTTTTCCTTCCTTCCTTTCTTTAGTTATACTCTGTAAATTAGTTCGGTAGATAATTTTAATCTACTAGTCCCGACCTAGTCATTATCTTTTCTCTCTCAGTTGTTTGTACTCTTTGTCTTAGTTTACTTTCTAAAATAAAAGTCCTTGTGCATTTCAAATCTGTTCAGGGAGATTAAAAACTAGTTTGAGCTTGTATGCGGGACAGTAATCTGGGTGGTCCAGCAGTGGCAAACAGTCAGCGGGGTGCTGACCTTATCAAGCCAGCGGGCCGATACATGCTCGTCTGGGACCAAACATCATAATTTCAACCTGCGGGGCAAAATCTTCACACATCGCTTTAGTGAAAAAAATCACCTGATCATGAGGTTAAATAGTGCTACTGTGTTGGTAAATATTATTTAAGAATGTGTGGGAGTCTTGTGTTTCCGTCTAGACTGTACCTGTTCTCAGAAACACCAGAAATTTCCCAAGGTAAGACTTTTCACAGACTCATATTACAGAAGCAGAACTCTTAATTTAGGAATTTTATCTTATCTTACAGCATCTTATCTCAAGGTAGGAAACTTTAACCTACTAAATCAAAGTCGACAATCGACTGTCATGCCTGTTGCCTAGCAACCGACAATCCATGCACAGCTGAAATGTAAACATGTAATCAAAATAATGTTAAAAACGTAAGTTACAGCTGCCATTACTGATGTAAAAAGGTCAAAAACTAAACTAAAGTCTGATAAACTGTAAGTAATGAATACTGTGAGAGCGCCCCCTGCTGTTTATCAGAGCATCGCCGCTCCTCAGTTTCAGTCTCCATTTCCCAAACGCTTTAGCCAAGCGCGCTAACGTTACTCCTCCTAATAAACAGACACACGTTCAGCTCCGTCTCCCTCATTATTCACCACTCACACTGAAGTTATAAGGAGTGTTTCAGGCCTGGCTGCTTTTAGAGCAAGGCGCAATACAAGGCAGCCAATCAGAACAGAGCTCTTCTGCACATATTTTAGTCTTAAAGGCACAGTAACACAAAACAGGCAGTTTTAATTGGTTTATTTGTTACTTCTGCTCCACCTGGAACCTTCATATAAGTCACAAAGACACTCACCACTTCAACGACTTTAATGCAGAATCTGACTTTGGTCAGGTGTTCAGAAGGCACTGTGAAGCATCTGGAGTCGCTCTGCTGGGCTGCTACTGTTGTTGAGGTATAAACCTCTGAGGTGGCCATGACTTCAGCTAAATACAGACACGCTTCAGCTTTGGAGATACCAGCCTGAGGAGAAAAGAGCACATTTTTGTGTCTCTGAAGTCTTAAACCAGTTGCCTAAGCGTGAACACAAAGGCAAAAAGTCGAGCAAGCCAGAGAAAAACCGAGAAAACGTTTTCATTTTTTCGAATTTTTCCGTTCCACCTTAAATAGAGCAGCAGTTACATTATAGCGCTTCGGCGCCAGAATGTAAGTGCTGCACCATTTAAGGTGGAACGGAGAAATAAAAAAAACGACGTTTTCAGCCTCGCGCCGAGGAGAAAGTGAAAGCAAATGAGTCCACAACAAAGCCACAGCGAAAACTCACACATTCCACGCCAAATAAACACAAACTGGTCCTGTAAAGAGCTGAAAAAGGCGAGAAAGGCTGCTGTGTGAGGAATTAAGGGACGGCTTACCTGTTGTTTTCGCTCGTCTCGTCACTTTATTGCCGTCTTTTTCTCGACTCAAGCCTCTGTCGCAGCAGCAACTTCCGCAATTCTGTTCAGACGAAGGGCAAAAGAGTCCAACCAGCGCTTCAGAGTAAATGATCTCAGACCGGAGACGCCGCTTTCTGACCAAAAATAGGTGTGGCTTACAAATATTGACTCACGTAGTTTTACTGCTTCACACTTGACTTCAGCCTCAGCACGTCTGCTTCTCTGAAAAGAAGGCACAAATATTTAAAAAGAGACTTTTTCGTCTGAAACCTTTTTTCACCCTTCCTTAGACGTATATCTCTTAGCGTACACACTACCGTTTACATGCTTGAAGGGGAATTCCACCAAATTTTCGGTATAATTCAGTGTGTGTAGACATTTTATTTACCATCCAAACCACCAGTGAACCTACACCAGTCTTCTAGGTTTTACATGGAATGTTAATGACGGGAAAATAGTGGAAAATCTGAAATAATAAGTATTTTTGGGGACTATTTTGCCTCACAACGCCCTGCATATTATGTATCCCTCCACCATGAATGGAGTTTAGGGCCAAAATCTTCTCAAAACTATCATAAAACAGTGTCTCAGACATCAGGCAGTGAAATGTCTGTGAGGGAGCTTTTAGAGGTGGACGTCTGGTTCCTATCACCACCACTGTGAACAGTTCTGACTCGGCAAGTTTCTCTAGAACAGAGCGTTTCACACCAAACCACTCTGAATGACTCTGTTTACATCTTAACCGTTTATCTATGCAGAATTTTTGAAAAATCAGTGGAGTTCCCCTTTAAATTGCTCTTTAAATGGTGAAATGGTTCTGCTACTGTCAAACTTTAACCACAGCAGAACCCTTTTTAGTGCCACATAGAACTATTTTCAGAAAGAAAGCTAGTCCACCCAAATTCTTTTGTTTCCTGGAAGTAGAAGGTCCAAACACACAGAAAGAGACCCTCTATAAGCCTTTAAAGCTTTTTGGTGATTTTACAGGTTTGGATATTATATATGGAATGTATTTACAAGACACAGATTCTGAAATGGTTGTAAATGTTATTTTATTGTTGGCAAAATTTTTCATATATATAATAAGGCATATGAAAATAACACCGTCTTACTAGTTACATGTTCCACAAGGAGCTCAGGTACTACTTCAGAACCTCAGAGTACATTAAAAGGAAAAATGCCAAAAAGTAACTAAGACTAATTTACGAATATTGTTTAATAGTCAGACCCTAGAGAGATTGTCTCACCCCCCTTATTTATTTATTTAGCTTATTAGCTATTATTTTATATACTTACATTTAATATTTAACCTATTTAATTATTTTTTTGTACTTGAATTTGCTGACTGCACTGTAAATAATTGTACCTTGCTCTGCCATTATTGTTTGTACTTTGTTTGCAAAATAAATGTTAAAAATAAACAAACAAAATAAAACACTTTCTATGATCTTTTTCCCCCATGTTTATACTTCTTTACAGTCAGAATCAGTGTGTTGGTCATGTACAGTATCTCTCTATCCAGCTTGCTCAATAACAGAAGTTTCCACAAGCAGAAACCAGCTGATGATCTTCTCCACTTGTGTTGCTTAAAGGGGAATTCCACCAATCTTTCAAAATTTCAACATAATTATATCGTTGAGGTGTAAAATCATTCAGACCCTTCTTGCTGGTGTGCGAAAAAAAGTGCTTGTTAACTGTATTAAACGGGAAAAAAACATTTTAAAAACACAAAAACTAGTGGAGCTCTTCTGTGTTTGGTAAGGTAAGCTGAAGCCGAGCTGAGCTCCGTCTGCTGCTGTGCTAGTTTTATTCTGCTCTTATCAAATGATTATCACAGTGCTTTTCACAATACCATCAACTAAAACTGAAACTGAGCCTAAATCAAAACTATCACTTTTCAATAAAATAAAAACAAAACTGAAACTGTTAGTGCACCATTAAGACTAACTGAAACTAAACTGAACCCAAAACCCAAAATAAAAACGAAATAAAATAATAAATAATAAAAAGCAATTAACAAATAATAAAACTAACCAACTAATAAAGCTAAATGAAAATAAAACTAATGACAATTTGAAAACTATAATAACCCTGGTTTACCATAAACCTGTCATATATTTAAGTCTGAAAAGCACTTATTAGCAGATTTCTGTCCCATATACAGCTGTATGCAAAAGTTTGAGCACCCCTTGTTGCTCCATGTTCCATGTTGTGGTTGATTTTCTGAGTGTAAATTAGTTACACATCCTCTAGAGACACACTTCTGCACACTTTAATGCACAATTACTGCTTATTTACTGAATTTAACATTATGGAAAAAAATGTGGAAAAAAACATGACCTGTGCAAAAGTTATGGTACCTTCTATATGTTTTATTTTTCCCCAATATATTAAACTCACTAAAAGCTACAATTTGCAGACATTGTTATATTTATGTGTGTTCTCTGTAGAGGATGTGTCCACTCTACATTACACTGAATGTAGACATATGCTTAAACGTGAAGCTGCTGTGGGGGAAAAGCTCCTGGAGCTGATTAATGTAGGTCAATTTGGTCAGAAGCATCAGATAAAAGGCCGAATAAGATACAATACTCAGAAATGTATCTGAAGGAGATGTGTTGGTTCTCTTGAAAATAAATAACCCCAATAAATAACACTCACAAAAAAAGCATTGTAAAGCAGAAACCTGAAGGCCACAGTTGGTCTGTGTTGATTTTGGAATGTAATTATACTGTTGTAATCGATTATGATTCTGTTCAATAAAGTATGCACTTTTGGCCAAAATAAAATCCTCAGGTAATTCTGAAGCTTAAAAATAACCTTTACTGACCTCACTGCTCCTACTGTCCATCACAGGCCATTCAGTCAAAACCCTGTTACATCAGCAGAGCTTAACTTGCTAGTGTTTCTCTGTATTCACTCCTAAACCTTAGTGGTCAAGAAACATTTCTATGTGGCCATAACTGTTCAACCAGCGACGTCCTGATAAATAACCATAAGCTAATATATCCACAGCTGAAAAGGTAAATGTTTTGCTTGTAATACATCCTACATCATAATCGACACACAATATATTTGTGTGCAAAAGTTTTGGCACCCCGGTCAAATTCCTTCTTGTTGTTGATTTTCTCAGTGAAATTAAGTTTACAGATCCACTTCAGAGAACACGCTTGCCAGAATGAAAACTCTTTCACTAAGCTGCTCTCAAAACTGCGCACTATTATACTAAACAGCATATCAGAATAGTACACTATCATTAGCTGTGCACTTATTAGTCACAATACACGCAGTTGTGTTCAAATGTTTAGCCCCTTTAAAATCTCAGGCTTATTACACACTAAGGCTTATTATTCATTAACTACAGGGACTTCAATGCAAACTGGCTGAGCTATTCTTACATTATAGAAGTGTATAATAAAACTTTGGGCCTGACGTCAAACCCTGGACATTTAAACAGCCTAAACAGATCCATCTCTAATATCACAGGCTTAAATTAAAGCACTTGCAGTATAATTCACTGTAAAACTGCTGAATTTATCACATTGAAAAAAATAAACATTAAATGTGGCCTGTGCAAAAGTAATGGCACATTTTGTATTTTATGTCGTATTTTTACCAATCTACTCAACATCCAATATCATTCAACTCTTCACCACCACTGTGACCCATTCTGACACTGGAACAGAGCAACTTCACATCAAACCACTCTGATAGACTTTACAGCTTACCCATTTAATTATGCAGAATTTTAAAAAGTCGGTGGAGTTCCTCTTTATGTGCAAATAAATAGAAACTGTGCCTTAAAATTAGCAGAAAAATGCCATGTTTGAGTGTGTTCTCTGTGAAGGATTTTCACTTATGAAATCAACAAAAACATGCCATTTGACCAGGGGTGCACAAACTTTTACACACAACATATATAATCTACACATATCTATAACTTTCATAATGTTGCTTGAACCTGTTTGGTAGATTAGCAGAACAGCAAGGAGACCACTGAGAAGAAGCAGAGCCTCAGAGTTCATTTCAGACATTACATAATCAATCCAGAGCTTAAAACTGCAGACTGCAAACTCTCTGGCTCCCTCTAGTGGCAGAGTGAGAAACAGCGCATTCGGCTCTGTTGGGCTGCAGGATCCAGTATTTTAACTCCTATGTAGTGCACTATGTAGGGAGCAGGGAGCCGTTTGAGATTCAGCCCCAGGGTGAGAAGAGGGCGCCGCTGGATTGGTGCTAAATAAGACTCGCGGTGGTGATTTAGTGACCAGAAATCACTTATAAAGCAAAGGTTTTTGCTTTAAACAGTGCTGTGATATCAAATGTTCACTGTTATACAACAAAATGTTTAAAAATTCATTAAATGACTGTAATATACAGCAATGGGTGACCGAACGTTGTTCTACTCATTCAGCGGTACATGGTTGCTTAGCAACGATACCAAACTCTAAAGGAACTACATTTCTTGGCGGAATACTTGTTTATGTGCATTATTATAGTCCACCGTAGTCGTGCGTCATTCTGTAGTCCTCGTTATGCCCATATTAGAAACTCCGGGTCTGAGCCCCATTTCTCTATGACCAGAATGAATAGGGTTTTCCAAAAATCACCTCTAGCGCCCCCTGTGTTAAATAATAATGTTCAGAACCCGATACGTTTTGTCCTGTGAACATTTTTCTCCCGAACACCACTGGATCCTCTGAATTACAAGGTCGTTAAAGAGCTATAATACTAATATTGCTACATGTGAGCTAAAGCTACTGCGCATCAGTTTGATGTCTCTACGCTACACAAATCTAAGGCGGGCTGTGGCGGAGCTCTGACGAGCTGTGCTATCTTATTAAAATGTTCTACTGTCACTCAAACCTCTAGGCAGAATATTTTGATAAAACTCCTTGTCAAAAATACTACCAGCATTAAAACTACGAGGCTTAATTTAGCTTCTTTTTTCTCAGCTTCTTCTTTGAATGTTCCCGTTCCACCTTAAATGTGCAGCAGCTGTGACTAGCTATCACAAACATTAGCAAACGAGACAAAACACTGACCTGTCGGTTCTGTGAAGCAGCAAAAATAAGTTAATGTTACTCAGCTGTTAAGCGGAAATAGAGAAACCTCCTC